ATTTTTAGTTGATTTAGATTGTAAGAAAATTAGGATAACTTTATAAATAGATTGTATACCTAGGTATTTTAAAATGATTATAGGAAAGTCAACAATAACATTTTCGATCGATCCGAAAGGTATAATTGTATGAATTAAAATTGAATTGATTTAAATATAATGATTGAATGATTTATTTTGATTCTTTGACTGTTATTTGACAATGTTTTGTATGGTTTCAGAAATATCTAATCCACTGTATGTGGCTTTTTCATATTTCAAAAATGGCAGAAAAATACTTGAAACGTCGAAAAAGAACAGAGAGCAAATACAAATATTTAATGGTTTCAAAACCATCAGTATGGCTTGGATCATTGCAGGACATTCTTTCAATGTTTGGTATCAATATACTGTTATCAATAGGGAGATCACTCTCCATGTAGGTGTTACCTTAAAATGATTTTTCTATATTATAATTTAAGAAATTACCAATGAATTTTTGACGAGTGAACAGTTTCATAGATTTTCTGCTTCCATTTGAAAACAAACTTGTGTAATTTTTTATTTCAGATTGCAACTTATTTAAGAACAGCCTATATATCTGGAGCAACACTGTCAGTCGATACGTTTTTCTATATTTCTGGATTTTTGATGGGATTTTTGTACATGAAACAAAAAAGTAAACCGCTAAAAAAGCAGGTTTTGGGCGTTCCATATTTGATCGTCCATAGGTATTTGAGGTAAACGAGCATTATTTTTTTTTTATTTTGGTGCCATCGGCATCAACTACTAAGGTTATTAGCCTCGAGTTCTGTATTGACTTTGTTACTGCTTCCCAGCGCTACTCTAGGAACAGCACTGTTAATTAGAACCCAAAAGTGAATGGTCGAGTGGGGAATCCTACCAAGGCATCATAATTAATTTTAAATAATTAAATTAATTGAAAAAATCCCTAACGGTGTAGAACTTTTGACATATAGTTCAGCAGCCACTTCCATTTTTCTTTTAATTTTGTTATATCAATCGACTTTTGAGCCTCAGTTATATACTCCGACATTTTTGAAAATTTTTTTGAGAAACATTTTTAAGAGCTGTCAAATTTGAATGCGACTGACAACTATGATCACGCCATTAAATTTTGGCGTTCATATTTCGATTTCGTACCCTGAGTAATTTCTATTTTTATTTTTTTAGGATAACACCAGCTGTAGCTATGATGTACTTTTTCACTATTACATTATTTAAACATCTTGGAACTGGGCCTATTTGGAAAGTTGGCCTAGATACATTTATAGACCCGTGCCATAAACATTGGTGGTCTTTCTTTTTGTATGTACAAAATTATGTCAATTATGATGAGCTCGTAAGTTTGATTAGTTTTATTTTTATGAATTCAATTTTTTAAATTTTTTTCTAATGTTATACCATTTTTGTTGTTTTTTCTTAACAATTTTTAATTTTTTACTTATTTCTTGTTCCAAATTTTCTCCTGCATTGTTACAATTTTAACTTTCCTGTAACCCGTTAGGATAGTATGACTGTACAGGAATTATGATTTTTTGGACCTCGAGTTTTAGACGAATTTTTACATTTTGAGGTCCTTTAAATCCACGATAACTCAGAAAGGGATTATTTAAAAACACCAAATTTTAAGTATTTAAGCTTTTAATCCATCCTGCGGTGAGTTAATTATATTTTGAACATAGTCGGAGAATCTAAGGGGGGTAGTTTAAAGGGGATGTTTTTTTAACGTTTTTTTATTTATGATTAGAGAAGAAAGTTCTCCGTATAAACCTTATTTTTGATGTTTTTTTTTACCATTTTTGTCATATATCTGATTTTTTTACGGACCGTAATGGCAGTGTAGATTTGAAAAATATTTTAAATAAAAAGGTTGTGGAAATGATTTATCTTTAATTCATATTGTATACGCTTTTCGATTAATATATTTGATAACTTTACAGGAACTATTTTTTATTTACTTTCCAGTGTTGGATTCACACTTGGTACCTGTCAGCTGATATGCAAATGTTCATATTTTCACCCATACTTTTAATACCTGCCGCTGTCTTACTTGCCAAAAGTCCACAAAATTTGAAACTGGTTATGGTGGCCATGACTGGTATAAATGTGTTTTTCATAATACTTCCATTAACGATTAAACTGGTCTTTACAGACTACGACAAGTAGGTTTGATAAATATTAAAATTAATGAAATACCATATATGAGATTATTTAGTTCATTATTTTTCTGATAACAGTTCATAGTAGGTATAAGAATTCGGTGGGAAAGTTTAAGGGTTATTTCACATTATATTAAATCATTATTATTGTTTTCGATAAAAATAAAAAATGCAACTGATACTGATATTAATTTTGCAGTTCATTCGATACTCATTCAAGAATGATAAATTTCACATTTGGTATCACCTTTGGAATATTTATGCAAGAAGCAAAAAATAAGATATCCTGGTTTGGAAAAGTTAAATCACCGTCGGTAAGTAAAAAACATCAAACGTCAAATCGATGTTATGCGATTGTTTTTTTAAAGGCTTCTTGATTTTTAGTATTATAATTTTGTAATATGGATAGCTGTACTTATTTCGATGCTTTTCGTAGTACTGATTAATCATGAAATGACTTTTAATGGACATGGCCATACGGCTCTATCCATCACTCACAGTTTAATGAGGCCAGTTTGGTGCACATGTTTGAGCTGGATGGTGTATTCATCGTATCATGGATATGGTGGTAAGACGGTATTTGAGTAATTCAGTATACAGGGTCTGTAATTCTCCAATTTTTTTTTTGTGCCCTTTTTGAAAAATAGGAACTGTGCAGGTTATTTTTAATTGATCCGGAAACACTCCAAATTGAAAAGAGTTATTTCTTATACATGGTGAGTCAAAAACAAATACAATTTTTTAGGAGGTGATAGAACAATGAAAATTATGATCAGTTTGCTATATAAAGTAATGTCCCAAACTTTCAAATAATGGAGATAAAGCAATTCAAAGAGGGAATGGAAAAATCAGTTTTTCGGAGCTAACTTCCAACCAGGGCAAACTATCAATTCCAAATTTCTTGGAGAACTTAAAAGTTTTATATCATTTGATATTTGATAAAAAAAAATAATTTTTAGAGAGTAGTTTAAGGGTTTTTTTAATTTTATTGATTTAGAAAAAAGAAATTTCCATAGTTTTTCCATTTAAAAAGGTATTCTGATTTAACCTCGATAGAGTGAACCGTTTTTGAATAATTTTACTTTTAACAATAAATGTTCATTAAAAATATGGTGAATGACATTGTTTGCCGTGTATTGTTTCAATATAAACTATGGTATGTCACAATTTTGTTCAAATAAATGTCTGTTGCAGTCAGAAGATAATATATGCAGAACAATGTTCTCTTCATTGTTTTATCACTTCCTAAAATATTTGTATTCCTTTTTGACAAACTTTGTATACACGAATGGATTCATAATATGATCAATAAATTTTTTTAAATAATTTTTGTTGGTACCTCATTTTTACCGCTGCTCATTTTTGAGTTTCCTCCCAATCTTTACAATTATGACTTTAAATTAATTCACAAAATCATTAAGTTCTTGGATATTGAGTCAGCCTAGTCTCTAGACAAACAGTACCTGACATTTTAAAGCAAAATTTACATATAGTACCTAGGTTAGTTGTTAATGCAAGTAATTCGATTAATATAATTTTTCTAAAACACTAAATGAGACATTTACTTACCGATTATGACTTCATCACCGACAAAACTTCAACCAATTAAAGACTAATATAGCTACGCATAAGTATCGTTTTCCCTCTTGTTTATTAGTATATTTTATGTATTGTTATTTGTACTAATTAACTTATTATTATTGTAGGAACAGTACTTTCTTGCTCCAAATAAGATTTTTTTTTTTCAAGGTATTGTGAATTGGATTTTAACAAGACCCATTTTTCAAATAACTTCTAAACTATCATATTGTATGTATATAATGCATGCAGTCGTTATATTTCACTTCATTCTATTAACAAGAACTAAGGTTTGGTTTACTGATTACATGGCAGTAAGTATGTTTGTAAAAGTTTTTGATCATTATATTATTTGTAAATAACTTCTTCCTTTACTAAGGAGTAATCGAGAAAAATCACATAAGATCTAATGTAAAAACATGAAGGATGGCAACCCCGGTTGCAGCGTTGCCACGTTTGTTTGTTTATTTTTCTAATAACCTATCTAATTAAATAAAAAAATATTTTCTTTTGTAGTTCATAAATTGGTGCGCTTTCTTCATAATTACTTTCCTAGTCTCGATGGTATGGTCTCTATCTTTCGAATCGCCGCTTATAATAATTGAGAAGAAGATTTTTGAACTATTTTCTTCACCGCAGACAAAAAATAAGTCACCAAGTGAGTAACTAACTCCTTTCAAATAAATGATTAATTATTTTAAACAATGATTTATTTAAAATTTTAGAAATTATGATTTTCAGTGTAAATTTTTTTAGGTAATAATGTTGAAGCCGGACCTACTCAAGAAAAGTATAAAGAACATGGAAAATTTTAGGAAAAAAGAAGTTATTTAGGTTGTAAAATATTGTAAATATTAAAAAAAATATATAATTTTTACTTCACTCATATTTATAGTGAAAAATGTTGTTTCGATGTCTTTAATGTTCTTTAATTTATTTTTATATTATTTGTCTCGATAATAAAGTTAAAACTCGTCATCATCTGCTAGGTGTATTGAAAACATTTATAGGCCTATCACTTTTAAAGGAAAATATTTCATAATAATTAATTTTCTCAGTAAATATTTAATGATATCAGATTGTTGACGAATATTTACTACAATAATAATACTTAATTTGGTATTATTATAGCAGATATTCCTCAACGTATAAGTGGTTAATAGAAATCAATTGAAATTATATTAATATCAGAATATTTATAAAAATTATCAATTTTTTTTAACATCTAAGAAAAATAATAAAATATTCATTATAACATCAATCCACTTTAATTAAAAAATCAACAAATTAACTAAGAACTACTGAATCTATTTAATTTTTTTCATTGTATCTTCATCTTCTTCGTATTTATACACGCAAACAATATAATTATTCTTCGTTTTCTTGTTTTTCTTTCTTTTTTGGGCAACTTTATTCCTTGATAATTCTTCTACAAATTAAATAAATAGTACGTAAGAAAAGAGTAAATAAGAAACTAAGAAAATAGTAATTTGATTTTCACGAATATAAAAAAGATAAAAGAAAAGAAAGAAAAATTAATAAGATGAAAGAGAAATATTGAAAATTACCTCTTTTATATAAATACTTAGCAACAGCTATGAAAGGCGACTCAAATGCCAAGCACCATAAAAGTCCCATTATAAAAATAAAAAATAGGTCTCCCAAGAAATCATGAATCTAAAATAAATAATATACTTACAATTAGTGATCCATAAAAAAATGTTTCCAAAATAGGCCTTGAAAAAATTCACATATTACGCGGGTCATTCAATAAATAGAGACAAATGGCTATAGCTCAAAACCGGTTTATTTCAATTTTTCAAAATTAAGGCTATTTTTCAACATATTCGCCTCCCACAGTTATGCACTCGTGCCATCTTTCTTGCAGCTTCCTAATTCCTTTGGCGAAGAATTCTTTCGATTTATCCCCCGAAGTCACTTTTGCACCTCATTGTTAGCAAATATTTTTCCACGTAGGGCGTCTTTGAGTGGTCCAAACAGGTAAAAATCAGATGGGGCGAGCTCAGGACTGTAGGCAGGATGAGGTAAGACCTGCCAACCAAATTCTTGAAGCTTATCACTGGTATGAGGGCGGGCGTTATCGTGCTGAAGAATGACTCCTTTTGACAAGAGTCCACGGCGTTTGCTCATGATAGCTGGTCTAACTTTGTGTTCTAGCATCTCGGAGTAGTATTGGCTATTGATAGTTAGATGATCTTCAAGGAAATCGCAATAGACTGGACCCTGTGAGTCCCAAAAGATGGTCAGCATCACTTTACCGGCGGAAGGTTGAACCTTGAATTTTTTGCGAACTGGAGAGCTAGTGTGTTTACACTCCATACTCTGCCTTTTGGTCTCAGGGTCGCTGGTCACTATTCTTTCAAAAAAAGCGTCTCCTTCAATCAAACTTCGTTGCTTTAAGTCTTGACTAATGGAAAGCCTTGATTCTTTATGAGTGTCAGTAAGCTGTCTAGGAACCCATCTGGCACACGTTTTTCTGTACTTTAAATTGTTCTGAATGACATTGTGAACAGTTCCAACACTTACTTGAACTTCCTCAGCTATCATTTCAACACTAATTCTTCTGTTATCACGAATAAGTCCGACAATCCTCGACTCCAACGAGGGATCAGAAACTTCCACTGGACGTCTATATCGGGGTTCATCACCTACACTTGTTCGACCACTTTTAAACCGATCAACCCACTTGTAAAAATTCGCACGGTTCATACAACTTTTACCGTACTGTATCAACATTCTAGAAAAAATTTCACTTGGTTTTACACCTTCTGCGACTAAAAATCTAATGACTGAGCGCTGCTCTTCTAAGGTGCAATCTTCTAGTGGACTTGCCATGGCGTATTGAAAATTTTGAGGTTATAAAATGATGAAACAGCTGATCAGAGCATATCCCAAAGTTGCTAACTAACACCCCTGAAAAGATTGTACACATTCATTGAATAGTTTTAAAATTATAGAATTTGTCTCTTTACTTATTGAATGACCCTCGTATGTCGGATCGTACGGTTACTCTTCTTTTAAAGTTTAGATTCAGTACAGAGTGGTGACAGTCCTGGCCCAAGTTAGAAACATTTTTTGCCGAATCATTCTTTATAACATTTTTTTTCGCTTTCTAAACTTACGTTTGTTATATCGGAAAAATATGTTGAATTCTTTTTGCCACTAGTGAAATAAATTAGTACCGCGCCTTGGGTCAAATATACACTATACGAGATCCTTACGATGATTCTAAACAGCGGCATTGATAAAAATGCATTTATTTTCCCTACAAAATGTAATTGTTAAATATTAGTTCATTTTTTATTGTCTCAAATGCAAAATGTAAGAGCCACTTTTTTTATGTTTGATATATGAAGACTACGAGCCTCCACTGGAAATGACGACTCTACCAGTGACGTACGTAATCAATAAATTATAAACCTTATACTTTTGAGCGTAAACTAAATACGCTAGTTCGGTGTGATGTCATTTTGATTCCACTGACATTTAATTCTAACCAAACTTTTAACAAAAACATCAATAAATTTGACGTATACGTTTTTCGTGTTTTTAGTTTATTTCTAAATATTGTTTACAGGTCATAAAAAATAGTTTAAAGGTAACTAAACGATTGTATATTTGATGCATGTTATCTACTTACTTTAGGAATATATTTATAAAAGTGAAGAAACGATAGAATTTAGGTAAACAATACGAACAAAACGCACTCAAAAAATCTACTGTCACTTTAATTGTCAGTGGAACCATAAATACATCATCACTAAACTAGCGCATACCACTGACTTTATTGCGATGAAATATGAGAGTAATATTTACTTAGAAAATAAGTTAACAAAAAAATATCGCATTATGATAATCACGACAGTGGCGTAGAAAATAGAGGAGAAAAACTAAGTCTCTACCCCTCATATGCTTCTGATAATAACGAAAAATTATCTTTTACTATAATTTAAAGTTTAAAAATATTTTTGGACCATTTGTTTAATGCGTACTGTGTTTTGCTTACCGTCTCTGTTAATAGTACAAAGAAACAATATGAGTCCAATAGCAAGTGCCCAAAATTGCCTTGCGGATGAATTAAAAATGGCTGCGTTCATTACGTTGTATTCATTGGTTGCTGTAAAAACAAGATGTACCAAAATCAGACCTGCCAATGTTAAGAAAGCCGTAATCCAAGCCAAAGAGCTTACAACCTATAATTGTGTTTTAATAAGTATAATAAACGAAATTTCTGTTAAGATTATCAATTACCTTTGTTAATTTTATGTGTTTGTATTTGAAAAGAATGTAACCGAAAATGATACCGATAAACCAAGGGGGCATTCTGACAATTGTTGATGTATAAATGTTGGTATAATATTCTTTGTTGCTCCTAAAAAATATATTAGTACCTGTTATAAGTATAAAATAACGACTGTAAATTTGAAAGCATCGACAACCTCGCTTTTTTGTTTTCCGAAGCTGTTCGAGTAAAGTCAAGTTACCACTAGGGACCTAAAAATGGATATTTATCTCTTTCTTTTTTAAGTTCTTTATCAATGTTTGCATCTGGTGTGGGTAATCACTGGTTTAACTAAGAGATTCAAATAAAAATATTCCAGAATTTTTAAATTTCTTACTCAAAGTAAATAGATCCATAATTATTTCTGATAGTGATGATAAAAGTGTATATTCCAGTTAGCAGACATATCCCAATGCAAGCCAAAACAGTTCTTACGGGCTTCGACAGTAAATTGACTAATATAATTGGAGAAATAAAGAACAGTTGACAATCTACAGCTAAATACCAAGCTTGTTCCATACACTAAAATAAACAAGTCAAAAAACCGTCAAATTTTAAAAACCCAAATACAAAACTTTACCTGATAATTGACGTCGATCATATTACTAAGAAACAGCAACGTAGCCAACCAAGTTTTCGAACAGGTTACAGCGAGTGTTGTAGCCCGCAGCGGCCATATTGGTCCGTTATTTAAATGTTTAAAAATGCTGATATTGAATAGTATCATAGCAATCAATGCTGGGCTCAATCTGAAATAAAAAAGTCTTCAATAAATAATCGCTCAAACAAAAAAAAAAACAGAAAAAATTATTTACCTCAAGAATCTGTATATATAAAGCGGCAACACTGGAATTGTCATCTTAGGTCTAGTACTTTTGTAGGTTAGAATACTAAATGATAAAAGAAGTCCGCTTAACATCAGAAAAGTGTCTACAGCAAACGAACTACTGAGATTAAAGGCTGTAAATACTTTAGATTTCCACTGAAATGTAAATTTTACCGAAATTAACTATATCGCAAAAACTAAAAAATTATACAAATTATTACAAACTCTTTGATTAAAAATAAATAAATTCTACTTCACTGGTTAATTTAGGTCTAATTATACATATTACGGAAATTTAAGCGCCGGATCAAATCAGAGATACGAGATTATAGTGCGTTAATTTGAACCTTTAATTCATTTATTTATTAGTTTTTTATTTGTATTCTCTAGAATTATTTTTATTTAGATTTTTTGCAAGAATTTATTTTTATTTTAAGAAAATTTTTGGAATTTAACGGATTGTCGTCTTAACGGTAACATTTTGATACTGAACATAATTATTTTTCATCTTTGCTAAATGATGTAGTTTTTATTTGATACACGCTTGTCCCTATTATACTATCATTCATTATTAAATAGAAGTTCCGCGTTTAAATGTCCGTACCTGTACTTGATAATCCTCTCATTATTCATTGTTTTTCAAAATGACTATAATTTTCATATAGCACATACCTCTAATACGTAAATAAGATTAGTTGCTCCTGTCAACAAATTTAGTAACACTCTGTGTGCATAGAGGATCCATAACATGCATATTGCTTTTATTCCACTTATTCCTGCCAAAAAATTATTTTCTGTCAGTTCATCGTTGACTGTAAATATCTTTTTAGCGTTGGTATAGATTGAGAAGGAAATCCACAGGCTATCCGTACCTAAATAGATACAATAGTAGGATATATTAAAAATATACAGGGTGCATTTACATTTAAACTCACCTTTAACTTTTTGGTGAAATAGAATATCGTATCCAGTAATAAGTGCTAGTAGAATGAAATATAGTCCGAAACACGCACTAAAAATAAAATCAAAATGAGTAAACACATACTAATGAAAAATTGCAACGAGCTGGATTCGAATCATCTATCCCTAGCCTTCCGTTCTTAGTGTCTTGGCCACTCGACTTTAAAATTTTACAGATTTTTCGCTTTCTTCTTCAAATAAATGTGAGACAAAGGAATCTACATCAAGGTAGTTGAAGAACTATGATTTTAAAAATAAGGAGAATAAATGCATCAATAAAAGAAAATTTAAGAAGAGAAATTGCACAGCTAAAAAAGGATTCACTTATCTGATAGTGAAAAGTAACCAAGAAACTAAAATGGCCACAGACACACAGCCCATTAATCACAATTGCAAATGGAAGCTTTGCTTTACTTATAAAGAAAGGGAATAATAAGGAGATACCACACCACGATATTGTAACGTTTGGTTATTTTAAAAACAGTTTAATTATTTAAAACAGTTTATTATTTATAATTTATTTACATACACTAAGCACCAATTAATTTATTTATACTTAAATACTTAGTTGATGTATTTTTCACTTATAAGATCTTCTGTCTATATATCTACTTAACTTCTATCGAAAAAGTCGCACTGTTTTAGAAGAATTCCAGGTATTTCTTATTAGAACAGGCGATCGAGAGCGAAATACAGTATTTTTAAAACCAATCTGGCTATGAAATCCAAGTTTTGGGATATTCAGCAAAACAAAATTCAAATTTTCCAGAACATGGTGCTCCGAGATATTGTAGACGTACCATGGTATGATAGGAATGATATTCCTCACAGACATTTGAAAATGCCAATTGTCAAAAAAGAGATCAAAAGATTGGCAAGGAAACAGGTAGGAAGACTCCACTTCCATACAGTACCATCGTATATAAACAAAACTAATTGAGTCACTTGTGCAAACACACGAGTTCTTCTTTACCCTGTCTAAAAACTAATAGTAATATGTACATTTTATATTATCATGTATTCATTTACCTATAGTCACTGGTCACTGTTAGAATGGTTCATAAGAAAGACGACTAACGCTTATTTTCCAGGAGTTCGTTGGCAAAAAAATGTTTCAAAGAAGATCAAAAGCCCTAGTCAGAGTGACCTAACTACTTACTTTATGAACCATACCGAAGTCCTGTAGATCTTAGATGAAACAGAAGCCTAAGAAGAAAATATTGTAAAGTTAATTTGTAGCGCATAATATTAGAGCAAAGTATAATGAAACACGCTTATTATTGTATAGCCTAAAAGCCACCAATTAGCTTAGTTAATTACCCAAATTTTATGACATTAAAATAAAATAGTCGATTAATAACAATAACTTTATACAAAACAAAAATATATTTCATACAAGAACGCTTAAGAATCTTTGAAGTGTACACATTGTAAACCTCTCGTAGTATAGCGTTACCAAAGTTTAATGCCTCTTACTCTTACTTACTGTACTAAAACATCGAAATCAAACGGCTTGATGCCCTTGATTTTGGTACTGCACATCGTATCAAAAAAATTCAAATGTACCGGTATTCTAAAAGTGTATTCGACATAGTCCCACAATGTTTGTAGGTTCCCAATGGAGCAAGAATCCGGAATGCAGATACCGTAGCTCATTTTGATATTTTTCAACACATCTGAGATTTGCGAGCTAGTTTTGACGCCAAACACTTCTTTCAACTGAAAATAAAATGTTGTGGTTATGCTCCTCTCGACAACATAGTTTTTTTTATCTAGAGTCCAAGTTGAAATAAAGTTATTTTTCTTTTAAAGATATCAGCAATTAATAAAGCAAATAGTTATTCACTTACTGTTGCTGCATTGGAAAAATCAAAGGAATGACTGTATCTATCGCTAGGCGTCAGTAGAACGGTACAGTACTGGCCTCTTATGGTTTTATTTCTCATCTCTTTTATATCTATACATTCGTCGAAGTTGCCATTCATAAAGAAATTGCCAGCAAAAATTCCGCTTTGTAGTTTTCCAGTGGCATCGAGCACTTAAAAAAAAGGGGTGGTAATGTCTCCATCACTAAATTTTACGTAGAATGAAGCAACGAATTAATTGTAAAATAATACGTTAGATTTTTTACTTTATTTTAGGTAAAGGTTTACGTAATAGAGACATCATAATTTTACATTTTCAACATTAATTTTCTCAGTAATGATTGCACCAAATTTAAAAACTTTATATTAATTAAAATCCCTTTCAAACATCATCTCATTACTTATTTAAAATTTTCGAAGGGTACTCATAATTCAGAAGGGGTGTAAGAATGGCTAATAAATCCTCTAAAGCCATACTGCAACTCTAAAAGTTGATTAGAAACTAATTTTGAAAGTACGTATTAATTATATATTAATATGTATTCACTTACTTTCTAAGGCCCATCTTTTCATGTGGAGAGCATCATTAAAGAGAGTCTTGATGTCTTTGGCGCACTGACTATTGCCCCCAGCCATTTCCAAGACATGCTCAACTTTATTTTTCAGTGACTTTATTATGAACGGAGGTATTACGAACTTGAATTTTTTTGGCGTCGCTTCTGTATTAAAAACATTGAATGAAATCAAAATTATGCAAGCCAAAATTTTGAACATGATTTTAAACTATTTCAAGTATTGAATTTTTTACACTAAGTACCATAAAATAATGAAGGTTAAACTGTTACAAACAGATAAGAGGATTGAAGTAGGTACCTACTTAAAGGTACTAATAGGGGTTAATTGGTTTGCTTATCGAATGACAATTAACTATTTTAGTATTTACTACGGTGTTTGTGTATTTTTTTCTAATATTTCCTATATTTACTGCGATAAATTTTGTATCTATCTACATACGAGGATAGATCAAAACATTTCTGGAAAAAACAAATTTTTTGAAAAATTTTGTTCATTTTTCTACATAGTCTCATTTCAGATTTGTACATTTAGTCTAACACTTTTGAATAGGCATTCCGTTTTCCCCGGATTTTCCCGTTCTTAAATTTATATGTAAGTAGTTTTTGTGTCCAACAAAAATAATTTCTAGGTATTTTCAAGCATGTATTCCGGTTTCGTCTAGTTAAAATCTAGTCATCCTACCTTTGAAGCCCTTCCAACCCTTCAAAAAAATAGGTACTATTGAAATCTTCGAAATATCAATTTATAGTTTTGATGATCTCAATATACGATGAGCATTTCTTCCAAGCAAACATTTCTTGATATTTGGAAACAGGAAGAAATCGCAGAGTCAAAACTGGGTAAATACGGGCTATGTTTATTATGTGTGTGATTAGATTTAGGTTTCCCTTGGCTACGGATACTAGGTACATTCGCCAGCTTAACATGTTCATTAAGTATGTGGCTTCGAGACTACCTCCATGGTCTGTGCGCATTTCTATTTATTGTACTGTACCATCGTTCTAGGGTTGCCAACTTTGTTTTTTAAGTTTTCTGGACGACGGTAATAAAAATTCAGGACATATGGTATAAATTCTGGACATTTTTATTATTTAAAAAAAAAATCTTAAATAAACAATTCGACAAAAAAAGTGATAGAAACAAGAATTCTTTGGATAAATAGGAACTAATGAATAAACATTTTATTTAAATAGAACATAAAAAGAATATAAAAATTTACAGCTACTTAACAGCGCCACTGCTTTTAGAATCATATTTTTGTCACTCCTTGTAGCTACTAATAATTTGCCAATACCCTCCATATATAAGACATAAGAAATAGGAGATATTATTTAGAACACTGAGATTAGTACAAAAAGCGTCCTGCAATAGGTTGTTGCAGGACGCTGGACAATGCACCCCAAAAAGTGGACGTCCACCAAAATGCAGGACGGTTGGCAACCCTAAGTGGTTGTCAGGACAAAATTAAGCCCTTTCCATATATATCACATTTCTAAAAAAAAGGTTCTCATCTTGTATTTTTTTTTAAACCAGGTTCTCCCTTCTACAAAAACAAAATGTCTTCACCTAAAGCTGCCGGGCCCCCCCTTATGCCTGGGCTCCGGGAATTTATCCCGCCAGCGCCCCCCTCTCGATGGCCCTGGTGGTTGTACATTATAAACGCCTGTTTTAGACAACACATAATGCCAAAGTGTATTAAGTATTGCCTAACTAAAGGTGTTATAATTTTCATTTACAAATTTTTAATTGTACTATTGAATTTTACACGGGGGCAATGATATGTAATAGACAAATTGTATATTTTTTATTTATTCACCACTTTTTATTAAACTAAAATGTTACTAAATCCATATGAGATTACTTTAGGCGTTTTTTGGATGATATGAAACTAGGATTTTGTGATAAATCTCAGAGGCGGCTCGTGGCTTATTCTACGAGGAGGCAGGTACACCCTATATAAATAATACAAATATATATTTCTATTAAAATACAATGTAATATTTCTGCTTTTTGTATTCTAATAGAAATGTATATATATTTGTATTAAGTATATAGGGTATGCCTTTCAAAAGTAGCCTCCTCGTAGAATAGACCATGAACCGCCTCTGATAAATCTCAATTTTGAAAAAATTATCAATCGTCTTAAAGGCACACCCCCTTAAAATAATTCAAAACATCCCGAAAGCGGTCGAAATTAAAAAAAAAATCCTATCTAAATGGGACTTGGTCAATCGACATAAAGGCTTAATAAAGATGCATAATGATATAGAATATGTTTCAACGTTTGATCATCCCTTAAAATAATTATAATGAGACCAAGGAGTGTAAAAAATCCGAAAAATATAATTTCCAAATCGAATTTTGATTAGGAAAAAGACACGAACAAAAAAAATTGAAATTCGATTTAGAAATTGTATTTTTCGAATTTTCACTCTTTCAGCTCAATGTAAAATTATTTTAGGGTGTAGTCAAACGTCGAAACATAATTCTATAACTTTTTTGTTCATTATTGTGCCTTCTTGTAGACTGGCCTTTTTTTCCAAGTCCATATCCGAATTGAAAATTGTATTTTTCGGATTTTCACTTATTGGGCTCATTATAGTATCTTTTTATCTGTAAAAACCAGTTTCTGTATGATGTATAAACCTATTTTTAAATTTTGTATGTTTTTATATTTTTTAGACTTTTTATATCTTTTGTATTTTATTTTTTTTATTATGTGACCCGTATTTTATACTTTTTATATTTTTTGAAGTCCTTGTATGTACATTCTGTGACTTGCATGTAATTTTGTATGCTTCATAATTTTTACACTTTTTATATTTTATATATTTTTTAACATCTTGTATTATTTGCAATTTGTGACCTGTACGTACAATCTGTATTGAAAATGGTCAATAAATCTATCTATCTATAATTATTTTAGGAATTGATCAAACGTCGAAACATATTTCTAACCCATTGTGCCATAATGTCGATTGCACATTTTTTCCAAGTCAAAATTCGATATTGAAGTTGTATTTTTTGAATTTTCACACCTATTGGGGTAATTATAATTATTTTAGGGGATGGTCAAATATAGAAACATAATTCTTATCCATTATGCATTATTAGTGTGCCTTTATGTCGATTGACCATTTTTCCAAGTAGAAATTAGATTTGGAAATTGTATGTTCGAATTTGTACCCCATTTGGGCTCATTTGAATTATTTTAGAGGGTAGTCAAACGTTGATAAAGAATTTTAATTCTTTGGATGTTAATTGTGCCTTTCTGATGATTGTTCATCCTTTGAAATTTTTTCCTGAGTGTTGGTTTAAAAATCTAATGAGATGTCAGACATGGTCAATGCTATGGTGCATTAAGTTTTGAAAAATGTAAACTTCGGTGGACCAGAGGGCACTCAAGCGAAATAAAATCACTGGGTTGTCAAACATGGTAGATTAGTAGTCAAACGTATTCCGTATGTAAAACTAAAATGTTCGAATTTTGTGGTGCTTGCTTTTCATACAATTGTTCCTGCTTTCTTTTACTTGCTTAAATCCAAATGAAGAATATTTTGACCTATGGAATATTCTTAATCTCCATCTGGTGCTACCATAGTAATTTTTTTTGTATACATAATTTCTCTAAAATGGACCGTAATGGAAAGATTTGAGGAAAAGTGTAAAATTTGAATTTTTCATTATTTTTGTTGGCAATGAATACATTAAAAAATGTTTCGAACAAGATGTGTGTGGAAAATGTATGTATTTAGTTCATCCTCTAAACGTTTTCAAGGGTGATACAATAAGTTGTACAAAATAGCTAGAAAAAGCTTGGACAAACTAGACAGGCATTGAACACATCAGAATTTTTTCTTAAAAAAATTAAAAATACAAGTACCAATAAATAAAACAAAGACTCATATTACATTCACAGTTTATTATTTTTCCTCTCCTGAATAAATTAACATTTACGCTCTCATAATAATACTAGTACGCAGTAATAGAAACCAATCGTAAATATCTTTCTAGGCGATTTCAAAACTTTGATCAACACTTAAAATTAATTTCAATTTGTACTTATAACACAGACTCCTTGAGTTGAATCTCCTCCTTCTCCTCCGGACTGGACGTGGCCGCCGTCTCGATGATGGTGGGTATCGGCTTATTACCCCCCATCGTGATCGGCTCGTCTTCATCCTCCTCTTCTTCGTCCTCGTCGATGGGCGCCAACGGCCCTTCGCCCGGAGACGGTTCTTTGGACTTGACGAATCCCTTCAAGCACGGCGCTAAAAAGCTCGTAACGGCTGAAATAGCGAACAGCCCGCCCCCTACGTAGAACGGGACGTCGTAGGAGCCGGTGGCGTCGTATAGAGCACCCGCTAGCGGTGAGCCGACTATAGCGGCGGCGCCGCGAAATAGAATTAGCAGACCGAAAGCGTTCGTCAGTCGTTCCAAACCGAGTAGATCCACTAAGATAATTGAGGTTAGGGAGATGTAACCGGCTGGAACAAAAACAAAATAGTTTATTAGAAAGAATTGCAAAATAAAATTCATTTAGACAACTTTCATACAAATTTATGGAATTTTTCAGAAATGTATCTATATCAATGTATTTTTGGAGTTATCGTAGTATCGTAAATATATATACAAAATTATCAAATATTTTTTAATTGTCACTTTTATTTCAAAATCGTTTGCTCTGCATCTTCCTGGACGTAGGCGTAAGCGTTTGACAAAATATGACCAGAAGGATTGTTCTACATGAGTTAACAATATAGACACTACTTGTAAAACCAAAAAAATTAAATAGCGATTTACTGTTATTTCCGGGAAAACGGTAAGTAAATTATGACGTCACAGAATAATTGAATCCGTAATAGAACATTTTTTGATCTGAACTCTCAAAAGAAAAAAAAGAAAAATAATGACTGAGATAGTAGTGAGCGGAATGTTTAAAAGGTTTAACAATAATAAAAAGTTCAGATACGCCACTGGTGTAATTTGGTTTAATCCCAATGGCATATACAAAGAGTTTCTGAAGATTATTGATTCTCATTATATTCTTAAACGAGTTATTAGTAAACAGGGCCGACTAGAGGGGGGGGGGGCAGCCGGGACCAAGTCCCGGGGCCCGGACTCAAATGGGGGCCCGGCAACCGTGGCGAGGATTTTTGTTTTCTTTCAGAAGTTCGGCACAAGACAAGAGGGGGCAGTTTTTGGTTGGGGACCTTTTGAAGAGCTTTTTAAGTAAAGAGGAGAGAATATTTTTTATAAAATTGTCACAGGGCCTGATATAAAGAATTGTCCTGGGGCCCGGCCTGGCTCTCGGCGGCCCTGTTAGTAAAACATTCAATATGGCGGCAATTTTGTCAGCTGGTAGAACATTTTTAATAAAAGATTCTGATCCAGAAATAATCAATAATTTATCATTCTCAAACAAAATTGGTATTTTGATTTAAAAAACCGAAAGTAAGATAGGACGTCACAAAATAATTAAATACGTCATAAGAAAACTTTCCTTTGAAGCTTTCAAATGGAAAAAAATCAATTTAAAATCTCAAATAATGATCAAGCTAAAAGCAGGTGGGATTTTAAAGAAGTTTACCAATAACAAAAATGTTAATATACGCTACTGATATAATTTGGGTTAGTCTCAATTTTAACAATAGAGTTTTTAAAGGTAATGGGATGCCCATATTAAATATTATATGCCGGACAGCTGACAGAACATTTTTAATTAAAGATTCTTATCCAAAAATGTTTAATAAATTAAAATCATCAATAAAAAATAAATGAAGATTTACTGTTATTTCCGGAAAAACAGGAAGTACTTCATGACGTCACAGAATAATTGAATTGATTATAATAAAGTTCTTACTCCAAACTTTTAAACAAACAAAAATCATTCCAATATCTTAATTATTAACGAAGATACTAATGGCTGGAACTTTTAAGTGAGCCACCATGCATACTCGTCTGACGGGCATAAGCAACTACCAGAATAGTCTGGAAGTTGTAATTAGGTTTATAAAATAATTCAAAGGTTATTTCCTGAACGTTTTGTAAAAATAGGTTAATTTTAATAATTTTTTTTTACTTTCAAAAATTTAAATATCCAGATCATTATTTCCTTATTCAAGGGATCTATAAATTTTCAGCCTTGTGCTCAACACGTTAGTCAAAATGGCCGCTGGCTCTCAGCCTAAAAGTAATCCAACAACAAACTCATAAATGCACCCCTGTACTGCCGCAACTCTAATCTTCGCCGGAACCTAGGTAAGGAATATGTCAAAGAAACTATTACAAAGTTTGCCAGAAGTTGTGAACAAAGTTTTCTTCAACATGTTAAAGTCGAAACAATCCAGTTCCTAGACAGTACAAATAAAAATAACTCAATATCTGCCGAACTGCGAAATTAATTTTTAAAGTTTAATCATTTATTTCTAACCATTTTCCTTAATTTCGAATCAATAATCCTCCGAGATCCCTTGTATTCCATTTACCTCGATCTCTAGCCTTATTATCTTTCGCAGATATAGGAATTTGTGTATTAGGGCTATTTTGAAATTTTAATTCAATCACGTCTTTTCAACTGAACTAGTTATACTAATTTATTTAAATTGGTTAGTGTCTAATATACTTTATTATCTTTGAAGTATCTTTGATTATCGCATATATTTGTAACTTCTTAGTCAGGTAAATATTTAATTGAACAGCTGTAGAATAAATTTAACTAATAATGTAGCATAAATTAGCGTTATGTAATACTACAAAGAATCATTGTATTAAACGCATCCCCTTATTTGTAATAATTAAAATAAAATGTATATACTTACAAACGGCAATTCCGAAAAAAATGGCAACGGTGACGTACAGACCGTACGTATGACAAAATGGAACCAAAGCTACAGCTATCGTAGATACGATTAAACAACAGTTATTCACGAAAAGAGCATTCACTTGAGGAAAATCGGCGATGTATCCGCACACCAATCGACCAATCGTATTCGTTATTCCTATTATTGACAGCAAGAATGATGCTTTGGATGCTTCAATTCCCTAAAAACAACATTACAATTATTACCAAGTCTTAACTACAATTTTATTTTTAAATATTTTTGAAATTTTGACATTTTTTCCAATTTTGATTGAAATCTTTCACGTCGCAAAAAAATGTACTCTCATTTTACTTCAAGTACATTTTAGTGTAAGCACTCTTATCATTTTACTGTGCATTTTATTGTACTCAAGTTCATTTTATTACACTTTTATTACATTTTATTACAAATATTCAGTCCACGAGTACTTTACTTTTAATATACACTTATGCTCGTCACAATAAACTTGTGTGCATTTACCTACTCGAATGCATTTTATTGTACTCGGGTGTATTTCACTGTAATCAAATGTATTTTATCATTTTATTGTACTCAAGTGCATTTTATTGTTCAACAGTGCATTTTATTGTTCAAAAGTGCATTTTATTTTACTCTAGTACAAATATTCAGCTCACGAGTAATTTACTTTTAATATACTTGTGTTTGTTCGCAATAGATTTACAAATTTTATTGCGAGTGTGTGCATTTACCATACTCAAGTGCATTTTATTGTACTCTGAGGTATTTTCTTGAACTCCAGTGAAATTTTCTAACTCGAGTGTATTTTATTTTACTCAAGAGTACTTTATTTAGAATATACTTGGGCTCGACGCAAAAAAGTACTTTTTACTATACTCGAGCAAAATTTATTGTAATCCAAAGACTTTTATTGTAATAGAATGCATTTTATTGTACTCGGGTGTATTTCACTGTAATCAAATGTATTTTATCATTTTATTGTACTCAAGTGCATTTTATTGTTCAACAGTGCATTTTATTGTTCAAAAGTGCATTTTATTTTACTCTAGTACAAATATTCAGCTCACGAGTAATTTACTTTTAATATACTTGTGTTTGTTCGCAATAGATTTACAAATTTTATTGCGAGTGTGTGCATTTACCATACTCAAGTGCATTTTATTGTACTCTGAGGTATTTTCTTGAACTCCAGTTAAATTTTCTAACCTGAGTGTATTTTAGTTTACTCAAGAGTACTTTATTTAGAATATACTTGGGCTCGACGCAAAAAAAGTACTTTTTACTATACTCGAGCAAAATTTGTTGTAATCCAAAGACTTTTATTGTAATAGAATGCATTTTATTGTACTCGGGTGCATTTCACTGTAATCAAATGTATTTTATCATTTTATTGTACTCAAGTGCATTTTATTGTTCAACAGTGCATTTTATTTTACTCTAGTACAAATATTCAGCTCACGAATAATTTACTTTTAATATACTTGTGTTTGTTCGCAATAGATTTACAAATTTTATTGCGAGTGTGTGCATTTACCATAATCAAGTGCATTTTATTGTACTCTGAGGTATTTTCTTGAACTCCAGTGAAATTTTCTAATTCGAGTACATTTTATTTTACTCAAGAATACTCATCGCTAAAAAAAAGATTCATTTTAATATCTAAGTAAAATTTATTGTAATCTAAAACTTTTATTGTAATTTTATTGTACTCTGGTGCATTTTATTGTAATCGAATATGTATTTTATCATTTTACTCAATATGTTATTGTACTGTAGTTATTTCATAAATAAACAAATAACCTTTGTTCATACTTACATCCTTTTTTGCACATTCAACTAAGTACACAAACGGTATATATAGTCCGGCCATTCCGAACAAATTCGAAATTCCTATAAGTACAAATACGGGGTTCTCCAGTAGACTGACATCCAACATTTGAGCTAGCGCAGATTTGAAACTGTCTGGCAAGACCAAGCACGGGCAGATGTCACCGGCTGCAACAAAATCAAAACAAACATATATTTTATGCGAAAAAATCGAAAATAATGCTATCCTTGTCTATAGATAGGTCCGTTCACTTTTATTTTTAAATTTGTAATTAATCATATATTATAAAGATATCTGAACTCTTCTGTTTTGTATTTTTGCTGAATATTACAAAACCACAATTTTGTAAGCCAAATATTTTCTTTAAAGAAAGTGGCAAGGTTGCAAGTACTTCGAATGGACATACAACGTTGCCATGTTTTTCAAATTACATTTTTTGTGTGAAACCTTTAATTTAGTCTGTATCGTTGGCAAAGTATTGTTTATTCCTAGAAGAAACAGTATTTATTTTATTTTGTTGATGTTTGAACATTTTTACGAGCAGAAGAATAAAGGATTAGTTTAGATATAACTTAATTTATTCACATTAAATTTCTATAACTATGTGATTAACAGAAGTTTAAAAAGAAAATGAAAGGCAATATTATAAATAATACCAAACTTATGAAAACAAGCAATTTCCCAAGCTCCAATTACGACTTAATTAGAAAATAAGTAATTGACGAGTTGTAAATTTATTTAAATTGCACATTATATAATCTTTTGTGTAAACATCTGTATGAAGTATTTATCACCGTTAAAACAAAATATACAAGGCAATTTTACATTAAAAATAAACCCATAAAAAAGTATTCCTACTTGAAAATTTTGATTCTGAGAATTGCTTGATAGAAAATCGTTTAATTGAGCCTGTCTAGATAAATACATATAAGCAAACACGATGTTCCAAACTGTTTTTTTAAATACTTTTAAACATTGTTCAAATAGATCGTCAAGTTTTAAAGTTGCAACTAGAATAAAATTATCAAGTTTGGACTGTGACAAAAATTCGTCATAATTAGAATAAAAACCATGAAGTGTCACTGGGATAAAGATAAACAATGACGAGCTTGTTCATTTTGATATGTAAAATAGAACATTAAATAAACTGAGAACCAGTGGTATTTCTGAAAATGGATTAATATACATAACATGGTAAATATTTTAACCACAACTTGGGGTCTTTGTTATTCCATATTTTTGATATTAATGATGTTTCTTTCTAAAGTGAAGATATTATTATTTATTGCCGCCTTTGATTATGTATATTTGCAAAAAGGTTATAAACATTTTCATAGAGAAACGCAGGATTTAATTTAAGAAAATATAATTTCATTATTTAAATTTGCATAAACTTTAGATTTCACTTTTACCATAAAGAGAAAAAATCGCATGATGTAAAGTCGTGGGATCTTGGTGACCAATTCACTTAATATTGCGCGAGATAAGTCGTCCATTAAATATTTGTTTGCTTTAACAATTCGATCCCTGCTGGCACCATGTTTTAACCAATCAAATGAAGCCACAAAAAAATCAATATCAAAGTAAAAAGTACTACTTTCTAAATTGTCACTTTTGGACAAAATGTCATCTCGTACAATTCGGCCAACCCTACAAAAAAAATGGCGACCAACACAAATCCTGCGTTTCTTTTACGACGCCCATACGCATATTAAGAAAAAATGAATACCTACGTGAGCCTTCATCTTCGACTTTCAATTGAGGCAGACTGAGTATGCTCTGCCTGTAGTTGGACAAAGATTTTTGTGACTTGTATTCGGGCAAGTTCAAAACGGAACCGGAATAGAAGATGTCCTTCCTGGACATCGGTCGTACCATTTGAGGCTTTTCTTTTCTACTACTTATTGACAATTTGGACGTAAAGCCTAAGCTTTCCACATCGACCTGTATAAAAGTTTGCTTATAACTTAGAAAAAAAACTAAATTCTACAAATAATAGCATTCTGCATTTAAGTTGCACTAGTATCTAATTAAATTTACAAATGTAAAATTAATAGTAATAATTTAATTGTTTCTGATTTTTCTGGAAATATTAAGGATAACTGGTTTAATTTACAAAGGGGACATTTGAACTACTCTCTTAAAATGTACCAGAAATAATTTATACATTTAAAAAAATACTTCTAAATATAAAGTGTATTTACTTGAAGTTATAAATGATACATTTGAATTACTCTTCTAAACATTTTTAGATTTTTTAATTAGTACAATTGAACTACTGCCTTCTTCTTAAAACACACTGGAACGCGTTGAAATGTTTAAAAAAAAAATTAATAATTAGGAAAGGAAATAAAAGCATATTTTAAAGTGTAGGTATAGTGATGGAATAATAATTCATAAAAAGATTAACAATTTTTTTGTAAAAGAACTGCGAGGACAATTTTAAAAATAAAACTTACTCTTCACAAAATATTAAAAAGAACAGTGTAGCCATTAAAGACAAAAGGAAGTTATGCAATTATAAACATGATGGAGGTTTTAACAGCATCTTGTGCACACTTGTTCCCAACAAAGTTTATTAACAGAGAAAAACGTGAAAAACTTAAAAGTTGCTTGTTTCTGGCGAACCAAAAGTTTCACGACCTCAACCACGTTTTTCTCTGTTAATAAACTAATTTAGGAACAAGTGAAGTTTGCACAAGATGGTGTTAAAACCTCTTTGTTTTTAATGACTTGTCCTAATCAGCCAGTGTGTGCACATAATATTTCTTGTGAACGTTACAATCGGTGCATTTGAACTACTGCTTTGAAAATTACTACAAGTATTTTAGAAGGTTCTTACCTCACTAGCATTATTTCTACTGATGAACGACCCTGTCGAATCGTTCCTCCTCCTTCTCATATCACCATTGGAACTGTTGACCGTATTGCGCGAAGACGACTTAATAGGAACCAAGGTCGGCTTGAATCGTTCCCCGAACGAAGTTTTCCTCATCCTGTCGAACGTAGGGACCGATCCGTTCTTCGGCAATCCTTGCACGTGCGTGGTGAACGCTGGCTGACTAGCGTTCCTTATGATCTTGGTGGTATTGGTGTTTCGAACCGGTATCATAATACCAACATCGGAATCTTTGCGCACGTTTCCCTCGTTCTTGATTTCCGTAATACTTTCTCTAGGACTGGGCGAACCGGAACTACCGCTATGCTCGATAGCCCTAGCTTCGGTGATGGTCGGAAGAGTAGGCACTGTTGGGATACCAGCTATATTACTACCAGCCGCCAGTTGATCTAAAGCTAAGCTGGAATGCACTCCCGGGTCTCTATTCAGCGGTTGCTTCTGCCTCTTCTCCATCGTCCCATCCGGTAGCTGCACCATGAAGTAAGAACCGCCTATACTGCCGCGCTCCATCGCTAATTTTCTTTCCTCGGCCATTCTTTGCAATAACGGCGTCTCTCCGTTGTCTTTCGGGTATTCCAGAGGTCGCATTAAGGCTCCAAATATAACGCAATTAAGTATCAACCCCGCTAGTATTAAATTAGCTCCTCGCCAACCGTAATTTTCCAAGAGTATCGTTGCTAGAGGAGCGAAAGCAAAAGTACCAACACCTGAACCGCAAACTGCTATACCAGTCGCTAAAGATCTTTTGGTCTCGAAGTAATATCCCACGCAAACCACAGCCGGTAGATAAATCAACCCGAATCCCAATCCCCCGATGAACCCGTAAGTCAACATCAACCAATTAACGGTCGGACTGAATATCGATAGCACGAAAGCTATTGTTGAAATGATGCTGCCGCTTATGCATACCGCGCGGCAACCGAATTTGTTTGTCAGTGCGCTCACTAGGGGCCCGGCGCTTAAGTACATCCCCGATAACAGAGATCCCACCCACGCAGTCTTGCCTTTGGTTTCGTCGTAGTAGTCGACGATCTGAAAGAGGAAGATGCCGAACGTGTAGGCGATTCCATCGACGATCATGTTACACATGAAGGAGGCGAAGACCACCACCCAGCCATAACCGCCGTCTGGAGGTGGCGGGAGGTCGTGGTAAATGCAGAATTCGTCTTCGTATTCATCTTCTTGGGCTTCGGAGGTTAGACGAGCTGCTTCTTCGTACGTTGCTTCGCTGTCCGTCTGTAAATCAGAAATACTTACGTAAAATTACGTTTTTTAAGTATAAATTCGAATCAAAAATTCATAAACATTGTAAATATTCAACTCCCCACATCTCAATTACCCAAGAGAAAATCTTTTGACCACACCTATTAGTACCAAGACCTTATCTGCTCTGAAAAGCACAGTCTGTAGCACACATGAGACCCAGTACCACCAAACAAACCTTTCCATTACATGTTCCCTCCTGTTATATAACTAAAAAGGATAAAATAAACTTAAGACTGTCTTGCATACAATTTTATTTATGGAATGGAAAACCTAATTTCAAACTGACCACCATTATTACAATATATGTTACAAAAATCAGGGTTCGAAAATATCACGATATTTATATAAATATCATATCACATGATATATATCTGATACATATCGGATATATATCCGATATACAGGGTGGCTCACGCTCAACGGGACGGAGCTTTATGGGAAAACGACCAAAGATATAAAAAATTCGTTTGGGAGGAATACGTAGGTTACAGACGGCTACAATTTAAAATTTGTTAGATGTATACAGGATGTCCCACATAAGAAAAAAAATTAGTTCATTAAAAATTATTCAAACAAGAGTAAACAATTAATTTCTGGGAGACTTTTTTTCCTTAAAAATTCAAATAAATCGAAAACTAATATAATAGTAATAGGGAACCTTTAGTTAACTGACATTATTTTTGATGTAGTTTTTAATTCTAAAATAAAAAACAGGGTGTTCCATTAAAAATAATATAACTTTGTATATTTTCTCTTATGTGGGACATCCTGTATACATCTAACAAATTTTAAATTGTAGCCGTCTGTAACCTACGTATTCCTCCCAAACGAATTTTTTATATCTTTGGTCGTTTTCCCATAAAGCTCCGTCCCGTGGAGCGTGAGCCACCCTGTATATCATTTTTAAAATTTAATTATTTAATTAAAAAATAGTATTGTTTCTTGCACAAACTATATTTTAAATTTTAACACAAACATATTAACAAAAACCTATATTTTAAACAACAAAACCGTTTATTCTAAAAGAAAAACAAAAATAATTAATAAAATAAACAGATTTTAACATTATTTTATTAACATTAATATTTTAACACAAACACATATAAATTGCTAGTTATTATACTTTTATACAGGGGCGTATTGAGACATTTTCGGATGTTCAGAATAGTGGACAACATTTTTAATTTAATAAATAAAATTATCGAATATATCGGATATATATCACTTGATATATATCCTCCAAACCCTGACAAAACTTACGTATGTTTTATACAGGGTGTTTTTTAAACATGCGGCAAAGGGGTTGTTCCTTGGACTATTCTAAGTATATTTTGTTCTGTGATGATTTTTAAAATTTCGTTTCGTTTAGGAGATACAGGGTACACAACATTTTCGAGAAAACTATTTTTATTATTTTTAAAATTAGTAATAATCTAAATAAAAATACTGTGTTAACCAAGAACATACAACTTTTTTAAAAATTCGTTATTTTTATTATTTTTTTACAACATTCCAATTACTAAAAACGGCTATTTTTTCCACTTAACAGAACGGATTTTCAAAAATCATCAAAGGACAAAATATTCTTAGAATAGTCCAAGGAATAACCTCTTTAATTTGTGCCGCATGTTTAAAAACACCCTGTATAACTTTCAAAACATAAAACATACAGTTCATCAAATTTCTAGAGGCTTTCGACGGCTAGACAGAGAAAGCACTACTGACAGGCATCCCGACGGATTTACGCAATGAAAGTACACTCTGCGCATCAAGTATTTCACTATTTCATTCAGACGTAAATGTCAGATGTAAATTTCGCTAAAACATTTCTTTTATTTTCGTTTGTTTTTTGCTCATTACAGTTTAATAGAACCTAAGTATGGAGTTTAATAGCAAATTAAGAGGCCGCGTGATTAACAGTCAATCTCGCGAAATAATAGCCAATGTTATAGAGTTTATGAGAAGAGAAGGAAACTTTAATTCACCTTCAATACCATTTAAAAATGTAAATGATCGTGTTGCTGCAGCCACAGGAGTATCTAAAAACACTGTCGTCCGCATTTCTGGAGAGAAAAAAAGAATCGATACCGTGAGATATCGGAATTTTCATCACCAAGAAAAACCATTAAAAAACCAAAAACAGTTAATGATATAGATGAAGCTGCACAAGAATCAAATTTTATTTTTTTATTATTAGATAGCTATTTTTGTTTCTGAGTTGTGTTCATTTACAGGCTCAATTTTTTTCCGTTTCTCCTTTTTGATTTTATATGGGGTTTCAAATTGTTTTTGACTTATTTCGACGTAAATCACAACAACACACTTTTTTAATAAAGCAAACAAGTGTTAAGAGGTATATGTACGTGTAAATTACAATTACAAAAAATTGATATGAAACCCATGAAACCACCAACAAAAATGTAAAGCTAGCTTCCGTACTAGAACATGGTGTCATTCGTCGAGATAATTTATCGTTTTGTTTAATAGATCAAGAAATGTAAATATTCCCCTGTTATTTTTTATAAAATTATAAGAGAAATAATTTTTTTTCTAAATAGTATAGTTTATTATTTTGTAGAAAAACAAAATTTCGAAAATTTTAGTAATGTTTCAGAAACAACCGTTATTAATAATAGGTACCATTTTCCTTAATAAGGTAGAAATAAAATATAAACTATTTCCACGATTTACAAAGGCCTACAAAAAAATTATAGGTATTTTCCGCTATCCTATAAAATTTATATTTTCTGACTCAATTTCAAAAGGTTGAAGGAATTCCAAAACACCTTTTATGGCATAATAATTATTTTCAATTCTACATACTATCTTTAGCTGCTTTTAAAAACGTTCTAAGAAAGTCCAATCAGACCAATTTAATCCCTAAACTATTCCACACTTTTAAAATTTAATTACCTAAAAATATTAAAAACTATTTAAAATAACTTGTTTAGCAGACTGTACAATAGCTATCTTAGTCACACGTAGCGCGTTCTCTGTCTGGGCGTCGAACACCTCTAGAAATTTGATGAACTGTATGTACTAACAATTAGCACTAAATTATTTCATTAGAAATGTTACATATTTAAAACTTCCTCTTCATGTTGTAAATTCACAATATTACTTCTTCGACTCTAACCATTTTGATACCTAAGTAACCTGAATATTAATATTAAAAAGATCTTGACTAATTGAAGGTGAACATGTCCACATCTACCTATAAACATACGAACGAAAAAGAAAATATTGGAGAAAAAATAAATAAATAAATAAATAAAACATTTAATTTTTTATTGCATTTTCTAAAACAAGGTATCTCATAGGTACCTATTTGACCAAATGCAGTTGGTTCTTTTATAAAAGAATTAGAAAATAAAGATGCAGAATTATAAGCATACAAATTCCAGAAGCCCTTACACTTTGACCTTTGCAATAGTAAAATTTTCATTCCCATATGTTCAGCAAATGATTTTTATCCAAAATAATTATAGTCAAATATTATTTAATAACAATTTTTAACAATGTTGAAAAAAATCATTAATTTTATTGCCTACACATTAAGCAATCTGTTTTAATGATCATACAAACAAAATACCCCCTAAATAAAAGGTAGATTTCATTAAAACTGCAGTTTTACAGATAAAAATTATCTAAAAGAGTCATATTTTGTGTACATATGAGGTCTACACCTGAATAGTGGTGCAAGTATTGCATTATCTTATATCATATCATATTACTGCATTGTATAAAATGCAAAGTTTATAAACAACTGGATTCCTGAGTCCATAATGACATTTATAATCATTGTCCTTTACAGGTTAGTAGTGAGAATAATAAATTTTAATATCTCTTAAATTGTTATACAATATTTTTCATAATCAAATAAACTAATATCACAAAATCTATTTAAAACTGACCAAATAAATTTTTTGTATATTTATACATCCCTATTTACTCACCCCTACAGTAGTTCCGGTGTGGGGATACTAATCTGCCAATCAGGTCAATTATTTATAAATATTGGGGTAATGAGGTAAGAGAAGAGGGGAACTTCCTTCTTATTTCAGGTGGAAGCCGGAAACAAAAAACTTGGGACTTCTTCAATTACTGTCTCAATGTAATTTTGTCGATTGTTAAATGTAAAATGAGTTTGTATTTATACTACCTTCTCCATTACTAGCCCAGTTATTATTAAGACATCGAAACACATATTGGGCAATTCAATTTATTAACAATTTTTTTATATATTTAATGAAATAACATTCTTGTCTTACAAGTTTCTCTCATATTTACAAATTTCTAATATATTTTATATTCCTTAATTTGTTTATACACCTTATATGTTTCATTTTCATTTCCCTAAAACATTTTTTAGATCTTAACTGAACCATTTCAGAAAGTTAGAACTAAATGATCATCTAATAGGAACAAAGAGTGATACATCTTTAAATAGAATATCACAAAAATGAGATACAGCAACATTTATATCAGATTGTTCAAGGTAAAAAAAGTAAGACTTGCATAATCAGCATACATAAAATAGAATTAATATTCATTGCATTTTAATACTTGTGAATCTATATTGACAGGAATTTCAAAAAAATAAGTTTTGTGATGTTGACTAGTGGGCAATAAATAATCCATTTCAACTTTTACTTTAATATTAGACATTAAACATTAAATCTAAATACACTTGAAGTTGGTTAGGGATATGATTTAATTGACTGTTAGCCTCACAATATGCTTTAGAATTATTAGTACACTGGACAGTCAAACCACATTATCTCTGTAGATTATAGTTAAAACAGAATACAATGATATTCATAATAATTTCAATTGAAACAAAATTGTTCTACTTACTCTTATTTTTAGTAATGTAATTGCTTGATCGATCATTTTTTTTTGCCAAGTTGAGTTGTAATCGTGTATTCAATTATTCCATTAACAACCAATTAAAATTCCACTAAAAAAATTGATTTTTTTAATGTACACACATGTATAAAACGCTTTCTGATATAGTTTTGTTTTGCATAAATCGTCCAGTTAAGTTCAACTGATTATTTCATATATTAACAAACATCAATTGTTCAACAACATATAGTTAATTAGTTCAAATTATAAAACATGTTTAGAAGATATTAATTGTAATTTTAACCAAAGGGGAAGTGTTAATTGCTGATTTTTTTCAATAACAAATAACTTTAAAATAGCTTTTATGAAAACTATGCTAAGTGAAGTTAAAAGGATTTATATTTCATAGAAAAATTGTAATTCTTCGAAAAACGTTTTGCTTGTTTGGACCCATAGTAAAAAATGATTTACTGTAAATAGAAATAGCAGGCTTCTTTATATAATTTCCTAAAATTAAAATATTCATTATTTATAAAATAGAAGAGTTACTGATTTTTCTGCTTTCAATCTCAATTATAAATCATTTTAAAAAAATGTTTACAATATCTAGATATTTTTTTATTGCAGCACATGGCACGAAACTGATAAAATAGATAAAGAAATATATCTTTGTTTATGCAAAACTGAAGATTCAGCAATTCTATACACAGTTTGCAACTTACCTAGTTTAAAATACCTATAAGTTTTTTGTTTGTTACTTTGCTATTATATAAACCTACATAATTAATTAAAAATAAAGTATATAAAATTTGTGCATAACCACAATTTCCAGCATTAAATTAGTTCGCGTTCTTTTTAAAAATCATCTTTCATCAACTATCATATATTTCATAAATATCAGCTTATCAAAAATATTATGCAGAAATTTGACGTTTCAATAAAATCAACATTATTCCATTAAACAACTAGTGAAATAACGTACACAAGAGGAGCATCAAAAGCCCCTAGTTGTTAGGCAATAGACTATACACCCCTGTAACTACACTAGTAGCAAGCCAGTACCGGCTTCAGATACAAATTTGTACATTAGGCAGATACAAAGAGGGATCATAATTTTAATTAAAAACTTTTTATAAGTATAAGCGAACGTTTTAACGCTTTATCAGGTCAATGGACAGCTAATTTTAAACGAATGAACTATATTAAAAAATAAGATGCAGCAGAAATTTTTCAGTCTAATATTAAGCATATTTCTAATTTTTGATAAGTGGTGTACTTTAGGACTACAACAGGGCCTCTTCAGTTTTATGTGCAGCCTGTACCAACTAACTCAAAAATGAAGCTCTATAAGCGGACGAAGTCTATTGATTTTGAATTAAAATTAGGGGATAAGGGAGGATGAAATTAAAAAAAAAATCAAAAAAGAAAAACTATATCAACATGAAAATGTTTAGTAAAAATCAAGCTTGCTAAGCGGATGGGGCCTATTATAATGATTTTGAAAAACAATCTGAATTTAAATGGTGGGTTTAAGTGGGAGTCTGTTGAACTATGAAGAGTATAATCCCACATAGCACACGGACGTCTTATGGTCGTCTAAAAGACGTCCTTCAGGGACATAAAGGACGTCCGAGGGACGTCCTTTTTTGGTATCGGGACGTCAATCGGACGTCCAATGGACGTCCTAATGTCACGTTTCCGTCCATCTTTGGGACGTCCCTTGAGGACGTCTCTGGGACATTCCAAAAGGATGTCATAGGGACCTTTGCGGGACGTCCTGGGGACGTAAATCAGACGTCCGAGGGATGATATTTGATCATAATCCATAAAGGGTAATAATAACAAAAATGTTAACAATAAAAGAGCTTTATTTAACAACTTTTATCCAGAAAAAACTAGCTAGAGTTAAACAGGAATGAATTAAATTTAACACTTTCCGCCATTAAGGTATTTTCTTTCCGCCCGCGACTATCGTCAATACACATCACTTATTCTCACCTCAACACAAAACACTCACTTCACTTCACTTTATAACCACTTTACCACCAACATCAAAAAAATAACAAATAACATTATATAACCTTCTTTTTTCTTCGTTAATCTAACTCACTTATATAAGTTAATTATTGAATGCCGAAAATTGTAGCTGTTGTTGTTCATTTAAAAATAAATGATAGGTTAGGTTTTCTGGCCTCATACTCTTGCAGAAACAAAACGTTGAATTTCAAGTTATCGATTCAAAGACCAATGATGCTAGTACATAAAAAGTCCCATAGACGTCCCATTAACGTCCCGGACTCGGACCGAAACCTAAACGCTTTGTCGAAACGGGACCAAAATAGGACGTCCTTCGAAGGACGTCCTAGTGTTCACTGTAATCGGAAGTCCATTGGACGTCCTATTTAGGTCCGGGACCAACAAGGGACCAAATCAGGACGTCCATGGGACTTCCTGTGCTATCTGGGATAGAATGCCATATATTATATATCTTCATTATAGTTGTTAAGTAATTAAATATGACAGGGTGAAGCAAAGTACAACAACGACAAATAGCTTCCCATAAGCCATTCTCTGTGATTACAAAACTTTTTTATAAAAATATCCTCTTTATACGAAACAGTTCTACGACACTGGAGGAGATAAAAGATATGCTAATAATTGGATTTTTAAATTTAAAATATTAATTTGAGCAAATTGTTATTGATAGTGATCTTTTATTGAACAATTTTTGTTTCGAAGAATTAATTTAGGAAAACAAAACAAAAATGTGTGTCTTACAATTAAGTGGTTAAAAGAAGAAATTAATAAAATTCCAAAATGATTATTGTTGTAATAAAAACCCACCATGTAATCCAATAAACGATCGTTACACATCGTATATTCAACACAATTCGTTATTAAAATGTCGATAACGTTGATTTCCGGTGCTGATAATATTTGAACAAGATAAAATAGTATGACATAACTACATTTTAAATAGTTTTGAGCCATTTTAATTAATCCTTCCAGTCTTTTTTCATCAACTTTAAACGAATATTCGAAAAATGTTTATTAATTTTAAAAAGAATATAATTTTCACGTTTTTATCTCACTTAGGAAATAAATTTGCGGCAGATTTGAAGTATGCGTCGATCGGTGGCCTCAGAAAAAATTAATTAGAGACTAAATAACTAATTTTTTTTGTATAAAAAAAATATTTTTAAAGAAAAATTAAATCTTGTAAGCACCACGTGCGTTATTAAATGATAACACATCGGTCGACATCCATTTCTCGAATTAAAGACCCTCTGGCTGTATCCTGTCGCCCTCCAGGTGCATATACAGGATGGTTAAAAAAAAGTAGGCACCTAACTTATCCTCTTTTCGTGATATTTAAGACATTTTACTTTGGAGACGGACACATTTTAAGCATAATTTTCAACCCCTTGGCAGGGAACGGGACGATCACAACCCTAAAATTTCAAATGGAAAGTCTTGTCGAGTGATAAAGTACATTATGTCATGCAACATCCTGTATATAAATTGGGTCTAATCGAGTTGTTTTGACATCTATAATACGTGGTCACTCTATGTCCCAGAAACTTTGGGACACCCTGTATATTAACCTCTTTAGTACATAAATAGCTACTACAAGCTTTAACTGTATATGCCACGAACTTTTTAAATAGTAAACAATTTTGTATACGTCCCTCGTAATACATAAAAATTGCCTTGTTATTGTTTTACTTCAACTTACTTGAAATCGAAAGGTATTTAAACTGGCTAGATTTCAAAATATCCAAATTGTTACGACCTCCTAGTTACAAGTTTCAATAACAATCGAAGGTTATCTACTCATATAGGTATTCACGTAATTTTTATACAAATTGAAAAAAAAAGTACAATATTTATTTTATTACGAGTCGTTGTAACGCCACTGGTACAGCATACAAACCACTTTTACGCTATTTAAAATATTGATATCGATTGATAATATTCATAATCTAAAAGTATTTTATCTCATTAGGAATATTAGGAAAGGAATCTTCCATCGAATTCCAATACAATTTAAATCTTTGCGCCGCAGCTATGCCAAATAAACAATAGACCTATTTATAGTAATTAAAAAATGAGTCACTTATTATAATCCAATTATTTTGTTTGTTGTTAACGCTGAAAAAAAATTCCAACGCGCTCATGAATGAAACGCGAGATACCATGATACGCCTCGTTTTCAGGTTTTAAATCAAGACAAAGAAATATATTTCAGACGTCCTGACGCCTAAATGAGCGAATAGGTATATCTAAAAAAAAAAATGGAAAAACCATTGTAAGTCATTTCCTATTCATCAATAAAGCGGGTTTTTTATTTATTCAAATAGGTATAATATGGTTTAATATAAATTGATATTCAACGTAAAAGTTGTCTCTGAATCAACAGTTTTAATTTGAAATAAAATTGATTTCGAGAATATTCATATAATATTAATATTACCTAACACAGAACACAAATCACTGAAACAAGTTATCCTTACCCTAGTAATTTTTTTATTTGTTTTGTTATCTGACGAGTAACTCATATTGTATAAAAAAAATCGGAATTTATTTTTAAAACTAAATATATAAGTACCACACGAATAAAAATATCGTTCACTGTATTTTAGTTATTTCGGATTTTTGAATTGACTTATCCACTCCTAACCTAACTTTTTATTCCCTTCGAGAGGGCCACGAAAATCACAAAAAATTACACGAGTCGTTACACCCATATCGCGAATTAAAACTGATGGGCAATTATTTTTCATAGACGCGGAAAGAGAATTCACTGTGCGACTGACTGGTTAGTGTGCTTGCTGTTCGGTTCTCCTTGAAGTTGTAAATATAAATTCATTAGATAGGTGACGTCACTTGCGGACTGAATTATTATGCGCTACAAACAATCTGCGATACGATTTGATCAAAAATTTGTCGCCAATGTAGTTTATTGCTATATATTAACGTTGATTAGCCCGAACAATATTCAAGAGTGTAAATGAAAATGTCGATCACGATTTTTTTATGTGCAATTTGTCTTTTACGATGATAGATTTCCAATGGAAAAGTGCCTAGTTCTGATCTGCTTCAATGCCGAGATTTTATATGTTTACTCAGTGGCGGCGATATAATTTACGCACGGGACGAAGGGGCGTATCGTAATAGACTCTATTAGTATGACGTATGAGGCGTCAGAAAAATAGGCAACCTACGTACATTGAGTCGGAACTTGTTCTTTGCACATAAAGATAAAAATTAATTCTGCTACAAAGGCATTCAATATTTTAATTAAATTCGTTCCCATATGAAATATTTAAGATTATATACGCTCATTGCTAGGATGCAACAAAATATTTATTTTAGCCCTAAACTCTGAGTACATAAGGTTCAATTTTTAAGAGATGACAAGAAAGTGTATAAGAGTTACGATTCGATGTATTATGGGATTGCATCCATCGGATATTTAATTTAAATGGTGAATTGTAAGCATACACGTTGTTATCCACATATTTGCCAAATTATTATGAGCGAGACTATGTATATAAAGATTGTTTGTGGTTATAGTTTGAAATTTACTTAACAAAGGGTTCTAAAACGCACAAATGACTTTCAAAATTATATTAATGAGTATATTTGCATTCTAAATGCCAGTTATTACCAGTTTAATGTCTTTTTCTGGTTGCAACTATTGTAGCTGAAGCAAATTACGCCATTTATTTAACAGTGTGGCAAAAAATGTAAAGCAGGCATCGTATTCGTTCGTGCTCTGTTTCATTAATAACACGCGTGTTCGCAAACGGTAACCCCACTCCATTTAGTAGGACGTCTCGCTCTTTCTAATGCGGCAGCCGAAGCAACAGATCAATCCGTCTCGTTCTTATCTTTGTTCATGTTTACAAAATAAAACAGGAACTGAATACTTAAAATAAGTACCTAAAAATTGTTAACTATGATTAAATGGATTGATTAGTCTAGTAGTTGTTCGTTTTTGCTAAAAATTGATTTTAAATTTTTTTATATTTGAGTATTTTTAAAGATTATAATCACTATATTGTGCACTACCGTCAGGTCATCAAAAATATATATTTTCAAGCAATAGGTTTTTATACCCGTTCAAATTTCGTAATCGCAGCAGAAATTAGAGCAAAATAAAACGTTCCAAAACGATTTAAATTGAATTGGTATCGATTGGGATCACTATGTTTTGTTGAACGCAGCTGTTAACTCAAAACTGGCAACCAAAACAAAAAACGTATTAAGAGGCTTGCCTAATGTCAGACTCGGCCCGATATACGGGTGCAGCTTCGGCATATAGGTAGGAAATGTACGCCCAGCCGAATGTCGTCAGCCCACTAAATTGTATCTATATAATTCGGCTTGTAATGATACTTCCCATGCCCGGCTAGCCAAATATTCACCGCGTTCGGCCTGTAAGGATGCCTCCCTTGTCTGGAACGCCAAATATGGACCATATGCGGTTTCTACTTTTAAATTATGTCAAATGGTTACGGTCTTCCCGGCTCAGAAGAAACGCCGACAACGGCAGTCCGAGCACTCGGCTTCCCTCCCGTACATGCCGGTATCAGGCCGACTATTTGTGGATAACTGGGTTTCAGCCTAAGAACCTTTTCAGGTCGCCTTTTGATTAGAGTTTGCAATTTTTATCTAAAAACAATTTGTGAAAAAATATTTGATCTCATTACCTCTTAAGCCTGACCATGTAAAACTATTTAGCCCGTTTATCCCCTTCGCCTGCCCGTGGAAAGAATATTTGACCATTTATACCATAAGCTTGTCTTTATACAAATAATTGGTTTCTTTATCCCTCAAGCCTATATCAAAATATTTCATCAGTACTTGAATCTACACTTAAAAATATTTTGACTCTTTAGCCCTTAGGTCTGCTCATGTAAAAAATTGTTACTAAAAATATTTGGACACTACCCTGTATGTCTGCCCATATCAGTGTATTTGGCCATTTGTCCCTTAAG